TGACACCCAGTGTCACATGAACGCAAACAGACACGCACACCTACATTTGTAGTTCCTCTAGCTGGCTTCTCTCCAGATTACTAAAAATGTCAGAGAAGTAGCAGCTGCTATTGATGTGGTTGTGTAGACAAACACTGACTTTCTCCACAGACCGCCACCACTGCAAGACCACTTGCACTTGACACCACTGCTGACAACAACAGAACTCTTACAAAGAGCACAAACGCTGAGTGTGCACCCAAACACGGCTAGTTTAATACATCAGTTCACTGCAGCCGCACTACGAACACTCACTTTCTTAGATAATCTGTTTTTAAACAGACTGATTAAACATTAAAGTCCCTGTAAAGGCCATTCTTTAAAAAAAATTCTAAACACATTATAAATGTTATAAATGTAATGCTAAAACATATTACAAAGACTGTGAACTGTGAAGTACTGAATTGTGGAGTTAGACCATTAAACACTTTTTCACCATTGCTGTGTTCCGGATTTTTTGGGCGGAGCTAAAACGGGGCTCGATGACGCACTGGAGCCCCTAAGCTCCTGGACACGCCCCTACTTGATGACACACTGGAGCCACTAAGGCTGGCCCCTCCCCTAACAATAGAGCACATTCACATCAGTTCGCCGCTCAATCGCGTTACTACAGCCTACAGTTTGCTAGCTAGCTATGCCTTCGTCACGGAAATGTGTATTGCCTGGATGCAATCACTTACAAAACAGATCGGTGTCCTTTTTTTAAATTTCCGAAAAACGATCATATCAAAAAGTGGTGGATTCATTTTGTGAAGAGCCACCTTGATGGTTATCACCATAAACACCGGCCTCTGTAGTGATCATTTTGCACAGGATAGTTTTATAAACTTTCGTCGGAGACAACTGGGATTCTCTGATAATCCGCTGTTACTGTGAATGGGGCCGAACCGACTATCTCCCGCCTCGGCCTTCATCCTCCCGTCCCGAAAGCAGTATCACCTAATATTACCGTCGGCAGCTTTCCCGTGAGTAGGCGGGGTTTCAGCACAGCCAGCGGACACACCCCCAGCGTTTAAGAGCAGAGAATAATGCTCATTTTTTCAAGATTTTGATAGCTTATTTTGGCTTTTTTATCATTCAAATTTAGCTGGGTGGCTAATAACACATTTTTCTGTGGTGTGACAAACTCTGAACACATACTTAATTTTGACTTTACAGGGACTTTAAACATTTGAAGTGAGAAGTGATCAGAATGTAACTAAGATTGCTCACTCATAAACACAGCACAAACAAATAAAGCTGTAGGTAAAAAGGAAGTTGTAATAGTTCTATGTTGCTTAGCAGGAACTACTCACAAAATGCTGCTGTGCTGATGTGAATATGAGGAGTTCATGTGATAATCAGCTTCTACAGTCAAATCAAACAGGGTAAACCTGTCAGCAGTGCTTGGATAAAATTCTCATATCGACAGAATGGGCATACATTTGCTTATATTCAAGTTTATGCAGGACAGGTCATAATCAGCAGTAAAAATCTGAAAGACTTTGCTGTTAAGCTGTGGTTCTGTGTAGCAAGTCACCATTGTGTAACAAAGAAAGATGAACTGATTGTAGAGATAAACCGGGAGGCGTCTGAGAGTAGAGGAGAGGTGAGTATGGTGGCTGTTTGCCCAATCCCTGTGAAGGGCTGCGGGGAGTGGTGGACACTGACAGTTAGGACCTCCAGACAGTGCATTTACTGAACTTTAATGGGGCACTCAGCATTGGTTCTCCATTCTGACCACATACAAAATTGATATCAAGGACTTCTTCTAAAACACCCAGAGGGCCTCTGTGCTATCCACTCCACACTCCACCAGACACTTAAGATCAAATGAACTTCTTATAATGCATTCAAATGGTTCAAAACACCACCCACCCACCCACTACCAACATACACATCCCTTGCAGTAAAAACTAAGGCTCCACGACCTTTGGCATGTAGCCATTAGTCAAATAGTCTTAATGGTATTTGCAGCCTATTACTCTGGCCTTTTTTTAGCAATCAAACACTTGGCCATGGGCACATGTTTACAACACTCACATCACTGACCACCACTAGTGCAGGACAGATGCCATGGGAGTTAGTCCAAAACTCTGCCTTAGCTAATAGGATCAGTCAGGCTCAATTCTGATCGAATCGAGTCATACATTAAGATTAAGTAACATTCCGCTATAGTGCATTTTGTCTAAAAAAACAACAACTTGACTTAACAGCTTTATTACCATGTAGTTTTGCTCCAATATAGATTGTCCATTTCACCCTCCAACACTCACACTACAACTATAACAAAAACAAGCCATTCTTTTACTTTTATGACTCCAAATAGCAGAACAATGACTTTATCTCACTCAATGCATGTCAAGAGGGAAATAGAAAAATATTTTGGACCTATACATGACTGATCTGCATAAACGTCTCTCCAGATATGGTGCCATCAACAGCAGATACGGGGTACTATTGCCTCACTGAGCTAACAAACACAGCAGTGTCAACATTACACACACAGCACACTAGTGGTTACGTCATGCTGATAGCCCTCCACCACTGGGGGAACTCCAGCAATTCTGTCTTATCTAACTGTGCCTGATATGACACAACTGATGCTGATAGCAGGCAACAGAACTCAACACAAAGGTGGGTGAAAGGAGAATGCTTTTAGCCTGTCTTCTAACAAGGCTATTCACTGACCAGAAAAACCTGTAAAAATGCTTCATGAAAGTAGTGAAAACAGTATTTAAAAGCTAATTATAGTAAAGTGCTATTTAAAGCAACACACTTTGCTAATTAACTACAACATGACGCCGGAACTATACTTTGGGCTTTTTAGCGAGCATAAGAGATTTTTCAACATTAAAAAAAACATTAATGACCTCAAACATTTGAACATTAGTTTAATAGGCTATATAAACATTAATAATGTGTAATTATAGTCGACATTGACATGGCTGATGATGATGAACACCTTTAATGAATAACACAAAACAAAGCTCTCTTCCACAATGAAACAATAACATTTGCACAATGATTTCAGGAGCAGATCTTCTGGAGCCTTAGAGGCAGCACTGCAATGGGGCAAAACCCACTCATTACAACACAGCCAACTCAGCGAAGTGGTCCACCACAGTCAATACAAAGAGTGACAGCATGACGGGAAGCCAAGAAGTCTGCTTACAAAGAAAGCATTTTGCATATGGTTAATTTCCTTCGATGCACCACTCTAAGCTGCTCATTTATCAAAATGAAGAATGGTCAAGGACAAACACTTTGTATGCTATCAACTCCTTATCTTGTCCCTGAATACTACTTGAGCATGTTCCGCAGTTCATACAAGGAGAAACAAGGCATCTGACATAAATTAACGAAAAGGCCTGCTGTAATAAAGCTTGCAGCTGCAAAACTGCTGTGCACCATGTATTAGAGTTTATGCAAAGCATTTTGAAAACGGACAGAGATAAAGTGGTAAACTAGCTCCACATTTCACCAGACAATGCTTAAAAGACAAACTCATTTATTTCCAGTGCTTATCACTAATCTGAATGGGGCAGAGAGGAGAGGGAGAAAGAATATCATTACTCAAAACAGAGGGTGGAACTGGAGTTGATGCGAGTCCAAAACAAATCTGTTGTTTTCTGGCCATGAGTCCTGGCGGCCCTGCAGAGCAAAGAGGTTGTCTGAGGCTAGTTATGTTTTGGGTTCAGGCATCTCGCTGGTCCACTTATGACACTGTGCACTGCTTTGTTCTCTTCTAATGTACAGTGGAAAAGAATGCTGCTCAAGAGAAGAAGAAAAAAACTAAGCTGGCCAATGTCCAATTACACTAATACACTTAAGCTGTGTGGCCTCCATTTTTTACATTCCACTGCCTTTCATGTGCAAATCAACAGCTGTTGACAAGCATTTGGTATCTACTATGATTTATTGACCCTTAATAACAACAACAACAACATCCGAGAAATGGAAAGCGAGCGAGTATAGTTGCAGCCTCGTCGAGAGCTTTGTGAAGGGGGCGGGGAGGTGCACAAAAGATGTTATACCATCGTGTTTATGCAAGACTTCTCAACACTTTCTGAGCGATATTTACAGTACAATGAAGGAAACCAAAGTCTCTGCTTCACATGAAAACAATGGAACAGTGAGGCAGTGTAGAGACTTGTGAAGAGCTACACAAATAATCGCAGTTCAGTACGTCACTGCACGAGCTCCAGCTCTAAATATGGGCTCACAAACCACATATTGTTGAAGTCTATGAAGGCTATTTCCATGCACTAATGCTCTTTAGCCCAATGTTATCTGTATAGTGGGGGATAAACATTTGATAGGCGCTATATATATTAGTTCGAAGCTCTATAAGAAACAACATTATGTAGCGGCTATTCTTTCTAAACCAAACCATGTTACAGCACCAGACACGTTCAATAATGTGATGTTGACAATAAATCCTAAATACCACTGATCTAATCTGATTAACACCGAAGACACATTCAAAACAGACTGAAAATATACGCCTCATCCTCTGCTTGCACCCGGCAGCGTTACTACAGAACTAACGTTAGCTAAGCATTCAATATACTATACATGACCACATAAACCGAGCTAACTCAACTAACGTTAGCTCAAACCAAAAAAAAACGCTCAACGGTGACAGTGTGCTTTGCCAAAAACATTGTATATAATTGTAGAAAGCTAGCTGAAAACATAACGTGACGCGCCGGGTGAAATTGAACGACATTCCGTCTAACGTTAAAGCATAAACACTGCTGCTAGCTATGCTAACTAGCCGAATAGTCTTCACGGAGGGGTTGATTTCCGCCTTGCGCAAAGACGCTCATTCAATCTAGCCGAGGGTCAGTGAAGGAATAACGGCCGTTAGCCCCCAAAAGACCCTGTTTCTCCGTCAAACGGATCGGAGAACTCTCGGCGCCCTTAAAACCGATAAACTGCTGACAGACTCGTGGGCAAAATGTCTTGTAGTAACTTACCTCTCCGCGGAAGGTGAAGGTCTGTCGCTACTGGAGGTTAATGTAACGTTAGTTTCTGAGGTGAACGAAATGAAGAAATGTCCACGATTAATCCACATGTACGGCTTGCTACGGGCGTGTTTTGGTCCTCGTTGCTTTGAGCCCCAAATCCACTTGAGCGCCGCGCTTCTGTCGTGTGAGAAACTAAGCTGCTCTCGCACTCCCTCAATGGTTCGGCCTTCTCGCGCTCCTCGTCTGTTTTTCTTTCTCCGCCGTCTGTTTTACTCGCGTTTCCGCCCTCTTATATCCAAACGGCAGTTATTCGAGAAAACCAGCTCGTGCCCATTTTGTCTAGTTGTTTTTTCGCAGCAGTGGCTGTAAATACACGAACGAGAATCTCAGCGGATCAGAGATGACTGGAGTCCGTGTGTGTGTGACTGACTGACTGCTGTGCTGCTTGCAAAGCGATAGTCCGCTGGACGTCAAGTGCAGCTTCTCAGCTCTTAAAGGGCCAGTGCGTTTAAAATAGGTCCCACTGCTATGTAAAGATAGATAGATAGATAGATAGATAGATAGATAGATAGATAGATAGATAGATAGATAGATAGATAGATAGATAGATAGATAGATAGATAGATAGATAGATAGATAGATAGATAGATAGATAGATAGATAGATAGATAGATAGATAGATAGATAGATAGATCAAATGATAAATCAAATGTTTAAACTCAGTTTCAGGTAGCATAAACTCTACTTTTTTTTTACTTAATTTTGTAAGGAAAAAACTTCCATCATTTAATGTCTAAAATCAAAATAATACTAATTACTCTGAGAAGGTTCTGCAGTTGAACTTTTTGCAGATACAGTGGGTGGAATAATTATTTGATCTGCTGATTTTGTAAGTTCGCCCACTTACAAAGAAATGAAGGGTCTATCATTTTTATGGTAGGTTTATTTTAACGGATAGAGACAGAATATCAACCAAAAAATCCAGAAAAACACATTATGTAAAGGTTGTAAATGAATTAGCATTTGATCGCGTGAAATAAGTATTTGATCCCCAACCAACCAGCAAGAATTATGCCTCCCACAGATTGGTTATGTGCCCATGTGGAACACAGATTAGTCCTGTCACTTTAAGAACTCCTAATATCCTAATGTCAGTAAACACCAGTCCACAGAATCTGTATCGTCCATTCCATCCTCTCCACCACCACAATGGGCAATACCAAAGAGCTGTCAAACGTCAGGGACCAGATCGTAGACCTGCACAAGGCCTGGAATGGGCTACAAGATCTTGAAGCTTGGAGAGAAGGATACTTGTTGATGTGATTATTCGGAAATTGAAGAAATACAAAATGAAAAATCAATCGCCCTCGTTCTGTAGCTCCATGCAAGATCTCGCCTCATGGGGTAAGGATGATCATGAGAAAGGTGAGGGATCAGCCCAGAACTACACGGGAGGAGCTTGTCAATGATCTCAAGGCAGTTGGGACCACAGTCACCAAGCAAACCATTGGTAACACACTACACTGCAATGGATTGAAATCCTGCACCACCCACAAGGTCCCCCTGCTCAAGAAGGCACATGTACAGGCCCGTCTGAAGTTTGCCAATGAACATCTAATGATTCAGGGAAGGCTTGGGAGAAAGTGTTGTGGTCAGATCATATGAGACCAAAATCGAGCTCTTTGGCATCAACTCAACTCGCCGTGTTTGGAGGGAGAGAAATGCTGACTATGACCCCAAGAACACCATCTCTACAGGCAAGCATGGAGGTGGAAACATCATGCTTTTGGGCTGTTTCTCTGCTAAGGGTACAGGACGACTTCACTGTATTGAGGAGCCAATGGACGGGGCCATGTACCATAAAATCTTGGACGAGAACCTCCTTCCTTCAGCCAGAACACTGAAGATGGGTCTTCCAGCATGACAATGACCTAAAACATACTGCCAAGGCAACAAAGGAGTGACTCAAGAAGAAGAACATTAAGGTCATGGAGTGGCCTAGCCAGTCTCCAGGTCTTAATCCTACTGAAAATCTGTGGAGGGAGCCGAAACTTTGAGTTGCCAAACGACAGCCAAGAAACCTTAAGGATTTAAAGAGGATCTGTAAAGAGGAGTAGACCAACATCCCTCCTGAGATGTGTGCAAACCTGGTGACCAACTACAAGAAACGTCTTACCTCTGTGCTTGCCAACCGGTTGCCAACAAAGGTTTCTCCACAAGTACTAAAGCATGTTTTGCTTGGGGATCAAATACTTATTTCACTCACTGAAATGCAAATCAATTTATAACCTTTATATAATGTTTTTTTTTCTGGATTTTGTGGTTGATATCCTGTCTCTCTCCGTTAAAATAAACCTACCATACAAATTATAGCCCCTTAATTTCTTTTTAAGTGGGCAAACTTACAAAATCAGCAGGGGATCAAATAATTATTCCCCCCACTGTTTGTCTATTGTGTGAGATTTAATGGTATAATTCACCCAAAAAAATTTAATTATGTCATCATTTACTCACCCTATGTTTCTTCTGTGGAACATAAAGGTAGAACCAAACAGTTTCAGTTCCCATTGATTTTCATTGAATGGACAAAAACTACAATGGAAGTCAATGGGAACCAAAACTGTCTAGCATTACCAAATACGTGTATTTGTGACTAACTTATTTAGACCACAAACCTTGGTCTGCATAATGATAGATGGCCAAACAAAATATCAGAGGTTCTGTCATCCAACTGAAATATCACTGCACTTCCAGAAAACACATGCACACTTTCGCAAATGGCTCTTGCAGACACTAATGTGTTGTACCCCCTGAGCGGTCTCTCCAGGCCCTCCACATCTGGGCTATTTGAAGCCCGTGGAGAGACAAGCTGTGGATACAGTGTTTTAACATTGAAGAATAGTGTCAGAGAGATCACACTGTTGGCTCAGTAAATGACCTGTGGTTTCTCTAATGATCTGAATCCTTTTCTCTGCAGCTCAGCCACCCACGGCCATCAGGCACCAACAGTTACGCATCCGTGACGCTCCAGAATTAATCAACCTTTCACACACAATCTTCCTGAGGAGTCTTATATGTCAACAGAGTATTATTTCCATACCTCCGTGTAAATGATGTTGACCCGCTAGGGGCATATTGTTTGTGTGGGCAGCTCCTTTGTTCAAGCCCTTGTGTAATCGGCGATTTTTACTGTAAGCATCCGTAGCTTTGCCTGCTCATTACACGTGATTGCGCTTTTCTAAAGTATAACAATATGGCGGTGATCTCACAGGATGATTCTCTGACACACAGCCACCTCATATCTTTGCCCTGTGGTGCTAATCTCTTGTGTGTGAGTGTACGGATTTGCATGTTGACATTTACAATGGATGTGTGTCAGGGTAACCTTCAGAGAGCCAGCGGAAAAAGAAAGAAAAAAATCTCTGAATTGGCATTCATAATCATGAGTCGGTCATTTTTTCACATCGCCTCCAACGCTTGATGTTCCAGTGCTCTTTCGCCTCGAGGGTAAGGCCAAATGACTGAAATTAACTCAGGAATGATGTTGAAAGAATGATTTTTAGTGTTTTGGTCAGATTTGATCAGATGAAATATATATTTATGGCAATCTGATCTGAGTATTTACATGAAAAAGTGTCTTATGTGTAATACAGTAACATTAAGGCCAGGTTGGGTTGACCTACATTCAGTTTCCAAATTACTCCATGATGTCAGAACCGTTTGTTTTTCTTTTGCTCTGTTTTTCTTTCTGCTCCGCAGTCTTTTCATTCTCTTTATCCATCCAGTTTTCCGCCCATCCATGCCGCTGCACCACCATTCCCCTGTCTTTCTCTCTCTCCTGGGTCACCCGCCACTGAAGAGGAAAGAGGGTTGTTTATTTTATCAAAGTTCCCAAGAGCCTAAAGTGTCACGGTGTTATCTCACCCCAATCTCTACAATGCCAATTACTCAGTACTGCGATAAAGTTAAAGCAGTTAAAGTTGCCTGTGTGTGTGTGGATTAACAGAGAAGCAAACCCAACGGGGTATATTGCATTCATATTCCACCGACCATTATAACTTTGTCTTTTTTTATTGTTTTGCAATAGATTGCAACGTGGTTTCCTTATAATAAACTGCCCATGGAAAACAAGCTCAGGGATTTGGATGAGAAGTGAAAGATGAACTGTGTAACAGTAAAACAGAATTTCCAGCACACACACAAAAAGCAGGGCAGGAAACAAATGAATGGTGAAATATGGGAATTACAGAATGAAGCCAAACTGAATTGCCAATTGGTTATGGTTAACATTAGGGTTAATGGTATTTTTGCAGAAAAAAACCCATAAAACATTAAATATGGACAAAAAATACAATGGAAGTCAATGGGACCCGAAACTGTTTGGTTACCAACATTCTTCAAAATATGTTCTTTTGTGTTCCGCAGAAGAAAGAAATGCATACGTCATTTTTATTTGATTAATATCAATTATTTGATCTCAAAACATTAAAAAAAGTAATATACATAAATGAAACATTCACATTAAGATAAGATTATCATGCATTTAGAAAATAAATAGTGAATTTCCATTTCATGCGACTAACTTAAAACATTTCTTGAAAATGGGATAAAAGATTCTTCTTATTTTTTTAAACCCACATGAAACCAACATGAATACAAAGAATACATTTCTAAGAATTTGTAAGAATTGTACGTTTTTTTAAACCAGATTTTAGATTTTTTTTTTATCATGGACAAAAAAAAAAGCTTGTTTCCTCAGAATAACACACATACAATACGACCAATAACATGTATTTAGAATTTAAATACAGTCCATTTTTTTATTTCTGTCTTTAACACTTCTTTGGGAGAATTGCACTTTCAGTTGTCTCTGCATATTAAACTAAAAAAAAAACATTCAGATTCATTGGAAGCAAAGCAATGGAAGTCCCTTCTCACCACAACGCCTTCCTCTTCTGCTCTTTTGTTCTATCAGGCTTCGGGGAAAAAAAATCTGCTCAGCTGCGCACACACATTTATATCTAAGCCGGCATCAAAGTCTTATCCCTGCTGGTTCTTCTGCAAGCAAGGTTTTAGCTACAAGCTATTGATTTCAAAGCCTCTAAATTGGTGGTTATCTAGGAGAGAGCCATTAGGCTAGCTCAAATTAATGATGAGCAACATCAACAGAGGCAGCGGGTGGAGAGAGGGAAATGATGGAGGGCGCTCAAAGTAGCTCTCCCTGTTGATACAGCTGAAGACATTACCATGGCACAAAAGTGACAAATGAATTTGGCTGACAAGAAAGAGAAAAAGAAAACGCCGCTTTTATTTAGATACGCTCAGGCGGATGGTTACTTCACACAGCCACATCTGTGATAACAATTCCACATGCTGGATTCCTCGGACAGATCATCTACATTCCAGACTCTCGCCACACAGTTTACTCA